TTCTAAAGAGACGTTTTTTGTTGAGATGCGGTTGCGCGTTTGTATCAATGGTATAACTGGGATTTTTGAGTTCTTGTACAAAGTTTACCGATAGCAAATAAATGTTCGAAGGTTATTTGATGCAAACATGCACAATATAGATATATTCGTTAATTTAATTCAGTAGTAATTTTAAAATAAAATTCAATTTTTTTCGATATGACAAATTTCAATTATCTTTTCCTCTACTATGAAAAATGGGGAGAAGATAAGTGAAATACTGCTTAGCTTCTCGCTTTAGATAGCTACACTTCCGTCTGGCACGTAGAGGGAAATTCGCATAATAGACCCTAATCCGAATCTAAATCTGAGCTTACGAGATAAACAGACTATTAGGGAGGACGGAGCGTCGCAACGAGCCCGCTCGAAATCTCCGGATGGAAGGCGCGGGGGTACGTAACGGCTACATCAAAGGTATCGGATTGACGAGGAGAACCCCCTGTACTGCCGCATCCCGGTTTATAAACTGGGAGATACGCGTCCCTCGCACAGCAGTCGCCAATCATGGACAATCGGATCAAAATCGGACCTTTCTTGGGAAATCATCGCGAAAAGATTAAACGACAAAGATTTCGAGGGACTATGTCGGTTTTCCGGTGAAAAATTAAGGTAGGATCGATATCATGACATGGGGGCGCGAATTCCGATGTCGTTGAATTGAAGGGTGCGATAGTGGCGGGGTGACTCTGCTTTTTGCAAGAAAACTTGGAAAAATTGATTTAAATCTGACTCCTTTGACTTTGAATTTTGTTTTTGTCTTAGAAGAATCAATTTATTCTCTTTTTCTGTTAACTATGCGAATGCAAGTTTGATGCGAATTTGATGCGAATTTTTAGAGTTACACATTCGTGATAAAAATAATAGATTTCGATAGAAAAATTCATCTCGATAAAAATAAACCACGTTTCAATAAAGTAAAGTGCTTCAGTTATATTTATGCTCGTGTATTCTTATATCTTGAATCTGTTATTCCAATTTCCATATATTATTACTTTGCATGATTATATAATATAATATGAATTATAATTTGCGTCGATTCGCGCAGATTTTTTTTGAGAGTGCACTCGACTTTGAGTGCCGCTCTCTTAATTATTGGCAATATTTCGTTATCGAGTGATACTATGTATCACGATACCTACGCGATTGAATCTATGGTGTAAGTGGTTTTAAAACACCGATAACAGTCGGATATTTGATAATCCGATCATAATACGAATATATCTCGTTATACTTTCTACAATAGAAAAAAGAATTGTATATTAAATAATTTCTTATTAATACATATCTCACATTCCATTTAGTCATGCCTATTACAATTTGTACATGTCTAAAAAATAAGATATGTAGATCAATGATAGTTATCAATTAAAATTATTTTTTTAATTGTATAGATATGAATGGTCTTGGTTATGCAAATGTAATCTCAGTTTTATATTCCAATCCCATAACATTTTTTTGAATTGTGTCATGTTATTTTACATTTAATAATAAATTTCGAATAAAATTATTATCAAACGATTGAAAAATATTCACAAAGTTATTTGAATTAGATGTGAAAATATCCCGTTTTTTTTCAATGAAGTCTGACTTTCAATGCAGTAGGGAGCTATTTGAAATAGTCGAGATAATTTTCTCTTGCGCTCTCTCTCTCTCTCTCTCTC